CCCCAAAACCCCAAAACCCCAAAACCCCAAAACCCCAAAACCCCAAAACCCCGTTGTATTGTAAAAATATTGAGAATTTTGAAATTTATTCAAGCGAATAGCTGGCAATAACGTTGTTGCTTGACTCAGTGATGTACAGAATATTTTCCTTCTCTTTTGAGAAATATAATCCAGTGATTTCGGGCAACTTTGGTAAGATAATTTCATCCTCAATCTCTCCTTTCTCGTTGAGGATTGAGATTAATCCATAATCTCAGATGGTTGCGAACTCGAATCTGGCGACATAGATGAATCCATCATGATTCACTGCGATTGCAGTAGGTCCGAATCTGCCAGAGAACTGCTTGAATACACTTGTGTGATATTGCTCCCTAGATGGTTAAAATTAAGAAATTACCCTTTCTCGATTGAACCTGTATCATTAAGAACTACTTTAAGTAGCCTATTTTCACATGTCTCAGACACATAAAGAACATCCTCTGCTAAGTTTACTCAGAGACCAGTGGGAGCTGCCAGACTGTTGTATTGGATTTTTTTCAAGATAGACTCTGATAAGTCTATCGCAAAGATACTTCCTCAAGGATTTTCTAAGCTGGATTCTCCGAATGGACCAGAGTCTGTGAAAAACAATGCGTTTTGTTTTTCTGAGAGAATCATTGAGTGAGGGCCTTTTAAAGCATTACCTTCATAATCTTTAATAACAGGGCTCGTTTCCATCCTGTGCTCATTCATAGTCTGGCTTAAGATTGCTTGATGTGCTGTATCTGCTATAAATGAGCTCCCTTGTTGATCAAACACAATAGAAGTAGGTTGGCCATTGGTAGAAAAGGCATGCTCAAGTTTATCTTCCAAAACCTGATAAATATCTCCATTTATGACTACAACAAAGAGGTTGCCATCAATATCCTCAATAGGGCAGAAAGGAGTTGAATCTGTATGAGCGATGATCAAGTAATTAGGTTTATCCTCTTCAGCAGTAACCTCATCAGGAGGTGGCGTCTCTTCAGTAGCAACTTTCTTCTTATCCTTGCCCTTCTTCTTAGTTTTCTTTGTGCTCATTTTATTTATAAAAATTTAAATTTATTGGGGTTTTGGGGTTTTGGGGTTTTGGGGTTTTGGGG